TTATTTAGTTACCGTAGACATACAAATTAACTTAGTTACCTACGTCTTTCTTGTGGTTTCTACTACAGTATAGTACAATTATATATATATATATATATATATATATACATGTATATACTTAATGCATGATTCTCACACATAAATATTTAGCTCTACTAGTACTACCAGCCTACTACTACTAGAGCTGATAAGTATCAGCTCTACAAGTAGAGCTAACCCTATGTTATAACCTATGGTATATATATATATATATCTTGATAATCTCCTTCATTGCAATCATCCAAAGGTTCAAATATATTAGAAACTGCTTCTATAGCCTTAACATTTTCTTCTTTTTTTTTAATTCTAGTACTAACTACTATATCATCATCAGTACATGCACTTCTGACCTTATAAACCCAGTAGACTAAGCAGTACTCTCCTCCTCACCTTCTTACAAAGCAACTTTCTTTGACTTAACTCTAGTCTATCCATTTCTAATTCTGGTCTTGCTTCCTTAACTCCTACTCCCAATCTACTATTTTAAAACAGTAATACTAATAGTAATAGCGCAATCTTTCCCAAAGCTATCTAATCACTCTAAACAGTAACACTAACAGTCTAACTTTATTTCTAAATTTCGTCTAACTCATCCTCAACTTTCAATTCAAGCAAGCTTTGTAAGAGTAAGAGTAGAGTGTTTATTTTTCCGATGCTCTTCATAATCATACCTATAGCTACAAAATCATATATTAAAATTACTGCAAGTGCAGTCGTACTATGTAGATATTTAGTAATGAAATCATGTAAAAGAATTCACCTTGTTTACTGCCACAACATAAATAGATAATCTTTGAAAAATACCAACTCGAATCAAACACATGATAGTTTGCCCTCTATGTTGCTAAAGCAAATTCTCTCAATAATAATATTAATTTATTTAAAAATAGAATATTTGATTGTTACGGTTAAAGCACTGCATAATATTTTTTTATTTGTTTGTTTTATCGCAAACTACACAATGGGCTATCTGCGCTCTGTCCAACACAGGGAACTGAACCCCAGATTCTAGAATTGTAAGTCCATAAACATACACTGACCCACTAAAGAACTTTAAAAAGTGCAATGCACGACTTGGATACGCCTTACTTTCTGGATATGTGATTACTATATCCCGCTACATAAATGTATCACAAACTTTAACTGTTTAAGAATAACTGATGTAACTGAAAATACTTAAGTGGCACGAAAAACATGAAATGAAAACCCTCCATAACTTAAGAATATTTACGTTGTCTCATATTTTTAGTTTTCTTGATGAAAGATAACTTATTATTTTCCATTGCATGTGTTACGTTTCCGTTTGTTAATTAACTTTCCGTAACTTTGTTCCGACGAAACTTTAGCGACACAAGTTCTTTACTTAATAAAACTGGTTTATTCTTTCCGAATACAAATTTACGGTACACTTATTTTCAACAAACGCTCTATCAACGAACGTCAATAATACTTCTGACTGCAGTTCAATTACTCACTATCTACACACACATTACCTTACCTTCCCGT